TGAATATAATATGTGGTTCGGGAATTATCGGGCGACCCCCCGGTCCGGGAGTGGGCCCCACATGCAATTTACTATTCACGTAAAAGAATTAATAAAAATTTACATTTACGAAAATTCATAAATCATCCTTCAAGGTTTATTACATAATTTACTAAAAGTAAATATGCTTGGGGACGGTGCTACACACACAATTGTATATCTACGACACTAAGAATGAGATTCAGAATAGAGTTTCATCTGTGAGGTGTGATACATATTTGATTGTTATTTTAATATCAACGATTAGTTTGGTATATAGCGATCTAATATGTTTTTTTTATTGATGTAGTGATAGCTCTACGACACGGAAGTTGTATGAGAGAATATTTGTTGGTTTGACTGAAATGCTCAATGAGCATAATGTATTGGTCAAATCTTTTTGACTTGATAAGGAGAAAATTGACACTGTTCATGCACCAAGTCTGAGGCTTAAGCTCATAGGGAAGCGATACGGGGATGCACGCATGTACAATCTACCCTCCGTGTCTGAGGTGGCTGCTTTGGTAGTGGGTGATTTTGATGAATCGTTGGGTGAGAGGGACATATTGGTTGAAACTCGATCAGGAGCGCTTCAATGGATAAATGAGTTAAATCTTGCCTACTTTGGTCTTCAGTATCCATTATTGTTTCCTTATGGAGAAGACGGATATCGTGAGGATACTTTGTTGTCAACACGTGATGGGATTTATGTTCCTGGGAGGCAGAGAGTTAGTGTTAGAGAGTTTCTTGCATTCCGTGTCCAAGAGCGTTTTTATAATCATTCATCTCTTCTCAAGGCAAAGAGACTTTTTCAGCAGTTCATTGTTGACATCTATACTTTGGTTGAGTCTGCAAGATAGAAATTTGTTAGGACTCATAAAAAACAACTTCGTTGCGAGATGTATAAAGGATTGAGCTATGCTTTCTTGCGTGGTGAGAACGATTCGTGCACGCAAGGAAAGAGAATTGTTTTGCCTCCGACTTTCACTGATGGGGCAAGATATATGATACATAATTATCAGGATGCTATGGCAATATGCGGGTGGACGGGTTATCCAGATTTGTTTATTACTTTTACCTGTAACCCAAGATGGCCAATGATTTATCATTTTATCCATTCGAGAAATTTAAAACCAGAAGATCGTTCGGATGTAGTGAGTCATGTGTTCAAGATAAAGCTTGATGGTTTTTATTTTCTTAGTTCTACCACATTTCAATAAATTCTCTTTTGTTTTTGCAGTGGTTTACACGATTGAATTTCAGAAGCGTGGGTTGCCTCATGCCCATATCTTGTTGTGGTTATCTATGGAGGACAAATTGCCTACAGCCCAAGATATTGATAGGGTCATATCTGCTGAATTCCGGATGTTAGCCTTGATCCATTATACTATGCAGCAGTGAGGGATTTTATGATGCACGATCCTTGTGGTAGAGCAGTCAAGTCTGCACCCTGCATGGTGGATGGTAAGTGTACCAAACACTTTCCAAAAAAATGGTGAGCTGAAACATCAGTCGATGATGATGGTTACTCTGTGTATAAACATGGTAGTAGCGGTCGAGTCATTAGGAAGAACAATGTGGATTTGGACAATAGGTTTGTTGTTCCGCACAACCGATATTTGTTGATGAAATATGGCGCACATATGAATGTCGAATGGTGTAACCAGTCGAGGTCGATCAAGTATTTGTTCAAGTACATCAACAAGGGTCGTGATCGAGTAACAACTGCCTTTTACAAGACTGTGGACGGTGATACGCAACATAAGCCAGTTGATGAGATTCAAATGTATTATGATTGTAGATACATTTCCCCGTGCGAGGCTTTTTGGAGGGTGTTTGGTTTTGAGATTCAGTACAAAAACCCTGTCGTGGAGCGTTTGAGTTTTCATTTGCCCCAGGAACAGTGTGTCGTTTTTCATGACGACCAACCTCTCGACTTGGTGGTCAATTCAACGTCGATTAAGGATAGTATGTTCACTGCATGGATGGAGGCCAATAAAAAATACCTCGAGGCGAGATGTTTGACATATGCCGAGTTTCCTCAGAAGTTTGTGTGGAAGAAAAACATGAGGGAGTGGACTCCAAGAAAAAGGCTTTCACTATTGGCTGAATATATTATGTCCACCCGGTAGCGGTGAATCTTATTACATTAGATGTCTATTAAATCACATTCGTGGTGCGATGTGTCACAAAGACTTGAGAACGGTGGACGATGTGACATATGTTTCATTTCGTGAGGCGTGTTATGCATTGGGATTGTTGGATGATGATAAGGAATTCATTGATGCTTTCAAGGAAGCTAGCTTTTTCTCAACGAGCTTTTATATGAGGATTCTGTTTGTTATTTTGTTGTGGACGGAGTCGATGGCTCGCCCAGAGTTTGTTTGGCAGCATTGTTGGAAGTTAATGGCGGATGACATACAACACACCCAAAGGAGATTGTTGCAGCATCCAGGTTAAGCCCTTCAAAAATTGAATTGTCTGCATGCATTAATACGCTATGTTGTTGTTTATCATTGTTATACTTTAATATTATAACGTTAAATGTGTTTTTCTCTTTTGCAGATCTCATTCTTTCTGATGATCAATTGGAGAAATTTGCCTTGGAAGAGTTAGAAATATTGCTGCAACGTCGGGGAAAGAGTTTGCAAGATTACCCTCCAATGCCAACGGTTAAGCTTGATTCACTGCTTTCTTCTAATGACAGAATGATATATGAAGAGTTGAGCTATGATCGCAGCTTAAATGCTAAAGAGCACACAACATTGTTTCATTCGCTTACGGATGAACAACTGCGTGTTTATGAAACGATAATGCATTTCGTGCAAGAAGAAATTGGTGGTGTTTTTTTATATACGGATATGGTGATTCTGGGAAAACTTTTGTATGGAAGACACTTTCTGCTGCAATTAGGTCACATGGGGAGATTGTTCTTAATGTGGCATCAAGTGGGATTGCATCCCTGCTTCTACCCGGCGGACGCACTGCACATTCTAGATTTGCAATTCCAATTAGTTTAAATGAAGACTCCACGTGTAATATCAAGCAGGGTAGTCCTCTGGCTAGACTTATCGTACGGTGCAAACTAATTTTTTAGGATGAAGCTCCAATGTTGCACAAGTTTTGTTTTGAGGCATTAGACCGCAGTATGATGGACATAATGCAATTTCACAGATCAAATAGTGGGGCTCTACCTTACAGGGAAAACTGTGGTTTTCGGGGGTGACTTTCGCCAGGTGCTTCCAGTGATACCTAACAGGAGCAGACAAGATGTTGTCAATGCAACGATAAATTCGTCATACTTGTGGTCCGAATGCGTTGTTCTTCGGTTAACCAAAAATATGCGTTTGCAAAATTTGACCAATGAAATGGAGACTTATGATTTGAAGCTTTTTTCTGAGTGGATTGCCAGTATGGGTGATGGTGTTTTGGGTGAAACAAATGATGGTTCAGCTTCCATTGATATACCTGAGGATCTATTGATTCACACTAACGGTGACCCTGAGGCTGCTATTGTGGAAAGCATTTTCCCAGAGTATGTTGCATCTACGCATGACATTAGTTGTTTGCGAGATCGTGCAATATTAGCGCCAACCCTCGCTGTGGTTGACTCTGTTAATGATTATATGTTGGGTCTTAATGTTGGAGAGGTTTCTAGGACGAATCTTAGTTCTGACAGCGTGTCTAAGGTGGATTCTACTACATATTTAATGGCGGAACTACACACTCCGAAATTCCTTAACAGCATTAAATTGTCTGGTGTACTGAATCACAAGTTAACGCTGAAGGTTGGGACCCCGGTCATGCTTCTGAGGAATATAGACCATTCGATGGGGTTGTGTAACGAAACTCACCTAATTCTAACGAAGCTGTGTGATCATGTTTTGGAGGGAAGATTTTGACAGGAGTGAGTGTTGGACAAAAAGTTTTGATTCCTAGATTGTCCTTGACCCCCTCGGATGCAAACTTGCCATTTAGATTTCAGAGGTGACAATATCCAATTATGGTTTCGTATGCTATGACGATAAATAAAAGTCAAGGGCAATTGTTGTCCCTTGTGGGGCTGTTGTTAAAGAAACCAGTGTTTACTCATGGACAACTATATATGGCGGTGTCAAGAGTGACCAATAGGCGTGGTTTGAAAATACTCATATGCAATGAGAGTGGTACAACATCCAGTAGCACTAAAAATGTTGTTTATAACGAAGTGTTCAATAACATGTAGTGTTGTATTGAATTATGATTTTAATTGAACGTTAAGTTATGTTCTGCATTTATTCATGTACAGCTTTGTATTATGTTTCAATGTGCAAGATTTTATAAGTTGTGTATTGTCGACGTTCTTGGAAACTCAAATCAATTAAATTATTTTTATTGAGCACAAACATTTTTTGTTTATTGGTGACGAGAAACTTTTTTTATGTGAAAAATAAATTATGTATAAATTCTCCGACCGTGCATCGCACAGGTGTTTTACTAGTATATATAAATGAGAACACATTTCAAATGAGCATCATAAGTTGTCAGTGTCAAATTCTTTCGATCACGGTTACGAGTTTCTTAAAACACACTGTATATTTAAGGGTAATGTGTTTTTTGTTTAAACTCTAATTGGACTACACGGGAAAAATACTCTCATTTGAGAATTATGTTTAGACATGCCTGTTTATTTTATTCATAACAAGTATTTGAAATATAATTTTTCATAAACCAGTAAAATCATTCAATTATGCCGCTTCAATTAAAACATCATAAATTTTATTAGAAATAACAATCCTTTTATTTCTACATTCTCTTCGAAAAGAACTCCAAAGTTTTGTTTTTGAAAGAAAAAAGAACTCCAAAGTTATAAATCCGTTAAACTCATTTACTTCGTATAAATCAAGTGTTCATCAATACCATATGAATCCATCCCGAGTGTTTACCAACCGAGTTTATGTCAAATTATTTGCCACATATATTTTGTTCTAAAAAATTGAGACATACGCCGCATATTGTAACATGGTAACTCTTATTACAAGGAGAGCTCGACTCGTTTAAGGAACAGCTTGCTTACAAAAGGGACTGTACGGACAGTGTTGGGCTCTGGTATATAGAGAGAGAGAGAAATAAAGCATTCTCTCGATCGTACTGTGGCAAGCCGTATATGTATAGAAGAAGCAATACGTATATACTTTGGATGTGTATGAACGATCAGAAGCAGTGTTTGTTTGTTTGACGCCTAATTCATCTCTTCTCCTTTGGATTTCGGCCTGGTTCCCCGAAGAAGCTGCCTCAACAGAAAAAACCTAAAACAACTATGGAGGTGTACGGACGGAGCAATATCAGAAACGGGTCGCATCCGGATACGGGCGCAGAATGGGCTCCGCCTGGGTCAGAAACGGATCTTGAAGGTGGGCTTCAACTTCGATTTCGGGTCATTTTGGGGTTTTTCTGTCCGCATTGAAGATTTTCTCTGTCTTTTGTTTTTGTTTTGGCCAAGATTTTCTTCTCATGGGGTTGTCATTGCAGAATCAATGCAGAGGCTGGGGATATGGGGCAGAGAAAGGTACCCGGAAAGGCCGGGCGCGCCTCTCTGCTCTTACTACATGAGAACCGGCGTTTGCGGCTATGGTTCCAAGTGTCGGTTCAATCACCCTCGTGATCGTGGCTCTGTAAGACCTCTCAACCTCCTTCCTCCCTCTATTCGCTAGGTTTTATTAGCATGCAGATGTTGAAGTTTACATTTTAGTGCAGTCTTAGTTATTTTTGCTCTTGTTCTCACAGCCCCGATTGTGATTATGGTCCTAATTGAACCCAGAGAAATTGCCCCTTGACATTGAGTTTTTCCTTAAAATAGTCGGGAAATTTCATGCCAATCATATGTTTGCTGCAGAACTGTTGATGTTAAACCATCTATTTCGATAATTGTGACTTGACTAATATTTATATTGGTCTTCGAATTGTTCTGTTGGGAAGGTTGGGGCAGCACAGTTTGGAGCAGGGGTATATCCTGAGCGACCTGGGGAGCTTACTTGTCAGGTGAAGCAATTTAGATCATCTTGGTCATGGTTGATATCTCACATGCAGTTTAATTTTTTTTTCACTCTTTATTGATGAGAAAATTACCACGAGTAGCTGAAAGAGGTGATGATTCCTGAAATTTGACTAAATAGCCCCACCCAGCAACTTTGGGGTTACTATTTTTCGTTCTCTGCACTTGCTACATTCATATGGATGCACGCTTCAATTTTCTAGTCATATGTTAGGAATCTATGAATGTTTTAGTCACATATACACGATTTTCCCTATATTGATTCAACAGTTTCATAACCTGCAGTTCTATTTAAGAACTGGAACCTGTAAATTCGGTGCATCCTGCAAATTCCACCACCCAAGAAATGCTGCTGGATCCTTGATCAATGTCCCACTTAATATTAATGGATACCCATTGAGACCGGTTAGATGATTTATTTAGTTCCTCACAACTTTTTGTGTCACATTATTTGTTGTTTCTGTAATAAGTTAAATGTGGAATGATAACAGGAGGAAAAAGAATGCTCTTACTATTTGAAAATGGGGCACTGCAAATATGGTTTAACATGTAAATACCATCATCCTCAACCACCTGGTATATCACCAGGGCACCCTCCAGCAGCTGCACGTCCATTTTATCCTACCGTGCAGTCTCTTCCAGGACCACCACCTTCCACGGAACACTATACTGGTGCAACTACTGCTAACTTCAGGGCCACAAGGCCTCCAATATTACCTGCTTCATATTTGCATAGTGCTGCTTATGCTCCTGTCCTGATTCATCCTGGCATGGTTCCTGTTCCTAATTGGAGCTTCTCGGTAATTGATAAGTTATCATTTTTTTAAAAATCAGTGTCTTATATTATGGTGGAAATGCATGCCTTTTCTTACTCTTTGTTCATTTAAATAGAAATACAGAAGAAAGATAACGAGAACAGACTACAGTGAGAGAAAAGGCAGGAAGCTATTGTCTGATTTGGAGAGAAATAGGAAGAAAGAATTTGAGAAAAGGGAAAAATGAGAGATAGGGCAATAAACTTTTGTTTGGTTTTGAGAGAAAGAATTAGAACAGACTGAAATAAGAGAAAAGGAAATAAACTATTGTTGGGATTGGAGAGAGATAGGGAATAGAGAAAATGAGAAGAGAAGAAGATGAGAGATAAGGAAAGAAACTATTATATGGTTTGTAAATGAAAGAAAGAAGTGGGAGCCACCTACTCTCTGCAATCTCTTCTACTGGCAAGAAATTGGGGGAGAGATCTTTGGTTTTGTTTCCACTTCTATCCAGTCATCTGATATACAATGTATAATATGCTGTGCGTGTTTTGGCCTCTTAATATGTACCTCTGGTCTTTATTGTAGGCTGTCTTTTAAAATTATTCTGGTCCACCTTTTAAGGCATTTTTCATGAAGCATTTTATGTTATTTTCCATGGCTTGCCTGTAATCAGTATCGTGTCTGTTTTTAGTTATAGAAAGAAGTATTCTTTTACGAGGCATTTTGAAAGATGATAAAAGTAGGATATCACAATCTTAAAAAAAATCAAGAATGTTATCTACTTCACCTGGCTTGTACTTTTTTTTAATCAACTATACCTCATATTAAGGACCGGACTGGAGAAAGAAAAGTACAGTTCTCTCTTTTTTTCTTTTCTTTCTTAGCAAACATTACATGGAATCCACTCTTTTTTCCCATTACTTCCTCGTACTTTTTTTTCCTTCTCATTTTCCTCTTCTCTCTCCGTAATCAAGCGAAACTAAGATTACTTGATGCAGGCACCTGTTAGCCCTTCCCTTTCAACTGGTGCTCAACCTTCTAATGGGCTAGCTTCTGTTTATGGAGTATCCACAATGGCTTCTTCTCCAACTGCCTTCCCAGGACCTTATTCTCATTTGCAGGCAGCATCCCCTGGTCCTACTAGAAGTGCGCTGAATGAAAAGTGTTTCCCTGAAAGACCGGGCCAACCTGAGTGTCAGCACTACATGAAAACTGGGAGTTGTAAATTTGGGTCAACTTGTAGGTTCCACCATCCTCCAGGCTGGAATGCTTCAAAACTAAATTGTGCTTTCAGCCCTCTAGGGCTTCCTCTGCGTCTGGTATGTGTGCATTTTTCTGTTATCTTTCACTTGGTTAAAGATTTCGAATGAAAATAAACCTAGTTTATGAATAACCATTGACCAGTCATCAAGACATACTGATGTAGGAATATACTTATAGATTATGCTCTGCAAAAGTCAAAATGTTTTAATAAGGTATGGTATTTTGAGGTCTTACTTTCCATCTCTACCTTGCATTTTGAAGTGTCGTGCTAGTATGAAGGTTTGTAATGGTATGCTGGCATTTTATATTATTAGTCTAACTATCTAAGAACAGGATAGGCATTAGGCTGATATCGGTGTCTCCAAATTGTGAATTAAACTGTTTGAGTTTGATCTTTCATAGCTAATATAATGCAGTGCCCCAATTGTTACGGGCAGAGTGTTTAGGTACAATACTCTTGGGCTTTGTTTGGTTCAGGATCTGTTAGGGTAGGGAAAGGAAGGATTGATATTTGTTTCATAAATTCTTTCTGTATTTAGAAGGTTGGAAATAAAATTGAGTGAAAAAACAAAACATAAATACATGATCTAGCTAATAAGAATTGTGACAATTTAGTAAAATAAAAGTTAATCCCACTCTCTCTTACCTCCTGACATAGTAATAAAAGTTGAAGATCCTGAACCAAGCAAACCCTATAGCTTTTAGTATGTCAGTATGTACAGTTGTGCACTATGACGTGTTTAAATATTGTGAAGTTTGTGAAAGTCTCTGATAGCTGTATGGTCTGCAATCCACTTGTCCAGCGCATTTTATTGTCCTGAGTTTGTGAAAGTATATTTATCATAGTAGTATGTTATTACATGTTAATTAAATACTTCCATACATACATATGAAAAAGTATATGGTAGTCCTGCTACCAACTTGTGATCATGCCATCACACAGTCAATATGTTAATACTTAAGTTTCTATGGAATCTTATATCTGAACTCCACATAGTAATCCCTTGCTCATTGGAAAACATTTGATTTTTTTACTATATAACTATATCGTTCACAATCTATGTGTCACATTCTGTTATCCTGCAAGAAATGTAACATAAACGTTATATTTTAAGTGCCCCTTCATTTAGCTTTCCTTATTTTAAAATTTAAAATTACATATGAAGTAATTTCTAATTTTTCCTTTTCTGCGAGTCCTCACTGAAACAACCTATCTCCTCCTAGTGGTAGAGGTAAGGGTCTGCCTACATGTCACTCCAGAGTCCAGACCATACTTCCGAGGGGGACACTATGGATGCTTGGGTTGGTTTTATTTTTATTTTTTAGGTGATAGGAATTATGAACTTTTATATGAGTTTAAAGGCATGGGATCATGTCTCAATGACACTCGTGCAATTCTGTATGCATGGTAATGCCATTCTCTATTCTTAAATATTCCATGATTTCTGTCCCAAAATAAATTTTGCTCATAACAAAAAAAAGTATCAAAATGATCGTCTTTTTAGGGATTAAATGGATAATTTTTACTTGCTTTCCCAAATTAGCTGTATTAGTTTTTCCTACATTAAATGCTTTTGTATCCTAAATTGAGGTTGTTATATTCCTTCCGTTTAATCATGGTTTAATATTGTTTGATGACTCAATGCCAGGGTGTGCAACCATGTTCTTTTTATCTGCAAAAAGGGTTCTGCAAGTTTGGTCTGAACTGTAAATTCGATCATCCAATGGAGATAAGAGAATAATCGGTCCCCTCCTCCATCTTCAGTTATTATTTGGTAATACCCGCTGGCTTTGGTTCCTATTTCATTGCCAAAGCTGTGCCTGAATTTGTTTATCTTAGAGGTCCGGTTTTCACAACTCACAAGTAAGGTGAGTTTCAACTCTTGCACTGATAATTTGATGTTAAATACTGAAGCCCAATTCACACTCGAGGTGTGCTGTTTTATTTTTTCGGGTTTGTAGAGAAGAAGGAAGACTTATGCTGTTTGTTATGTTAGTTTTTTTGGTTGACTACCAAGTTCTGCTATGCCATGTGTATGAAGTTCCACTAAGTATTGTTAGATTACTGTCTCTAGAAACTTGATGTATTTTTTGTTAGGATCAAGATGAAACAGTAGCACATCTGCAAAACGTCATTTTGTTTTATGACCAATTTTTTTTGAGAGATTTTGTTCCCTTTAGAACTACTCCCTATTTAATTTAACAGTGATCATGCTACATGCAATAGCTAGTTTTGTAATTGGCAGCAAAAGTCCCGTCTAGGCACCATAGGCAGGCCTAGGGGTGGACTTGGTTCCGGTCCTGGAACTGGACCTGAACCAGATTAATTGGGATTTGGGACTGGACCTGAACTGGCACCCGGAACTGGTCCATACTAGGTCTAGTCTGTTTTTTGTTTTGTTTTTGTTTTTTTAATAGGGCATAAACTGGTACTACCGTACTAGAGCTGGACCTTACGTTACCTGGTAATTCCTATCCCAGAGGGTGGAGGACCAGGAACTGTAGGTCCCTTACTGGATGGGGTCCATCCCTATGGGGAGCCTAAGCATAACCAAGTGAGTGCAGGTGAGAGGCACTAATAGGCACAAACCTTTCGGTAATACAATGATTTTTTTCTCTACTTTCTCAAAGTGGATAGATAAATAGTTAAATTAATCTTCATGTGTCAACTTTGCAATCATAACCTAGTATGAATCTTTTTATGTATTCATTTCTTGTAAAATAATAAAAAAGTGGTCTTTCATCATGGGATTCAAGCCTTCAACGATTTAGGACAAAGAATTTTTGGGCCTGGTTTGATCCCAAGGCCTCTTACGTGCCTGGAATGTTTCTGGTTTAGTTCAGTCTGATCTTTTTTAACTCCATGTCTGAAATCTGAATTATTCAGATTTCATAGTAACTTCAAAACTGAATCTTTATTGTTTTGTGGGTCTGAATGATTCATGTTTGTGCAATTAAAATAAGTGTGGGTAATAGAGAGCAAGTAAAAAATTACTCCGTAGAACGAAGAGAAAAGACCACCCAGATTTGCCTACCCACAGTTGGCTTTTAGTCAAAAAGTGAGAAATGATCCTTGACTTGTAATTGTAAGTAATCACACTTTCCCCCCCTTCTCTACGGTTTCATTTCATCTATGCTTTGAAAGTCTTCCAGCTAAACCCCTAAGGTTGTGTTTGGGAGTTGGGTTTTGGAGGGGAGGGGAAGTTTAATGGGGTTTTATGACTCTCCTTTTCATGTTTGGGAGTTTTAAAAACTGGAGGGGCGGTTTTGGAGGGCTTTTGTAACCCTTCAAAACACTCCAAATGCAGCGAATGCTTAATTTTTAAGTTCCCCAGTTTGGAGGGTTTTGGAGGATAATTAACAAGATGGTAATTTAAGCTAAATTAGAAATGAATATCAGCTCAATGATTTGAATTCGTCATATCTCAAAGTGATTTTAATTATAATTCATTCAAAAACCATCTCCTTCCAATTTTATTACTCCCAAATACAAAGAAGAGCTTCCTCACTCTCCCCACCCTTTCCCCTCCAACAACATACCTCCAAAGTCTTCCCCTCTCCTTCTCTCCAAACTCCCAAACATACCCTAAGGGTGTGTTTGGGAGTTAGGTTTTGGAAGGGAGGGGAAGGTTGATGAGGGTTTATAATCCTACGTCCAAAAGGTTGAATCCCCAACCCCAAGGCCCCCCCACCCCGACCCGACAGGATGGTGGGGGACTAAATCACGGTGATTCAGTCGGCAAAGCAGTAGTTTTGGAGGGCTTTCATGACCCTCCAAAAGACCAAAATCATCTAAATGCTCAATTTTTAAGTTCCCCCAATATGGAGGGTTTTAAGGATAAATAATGAAATGGTAATTTAAGCTCGATTAAAAATAAATATCAGTTCAATTATTTAAATTCGTCATATCTCCAAGTAATTTTAATTATAATTCATTCAAAAATTCTCTTCTTCCAAATTTATTACTCTCAAATACAAAGAAGAGCTTTCTCACCCTTCCCTCCCTTTCCCCTCCAACAACATACCTCCAAAGCCTTCCCCTTCAATTCCTTCTAAACTCCCAAACATACCCTTAGGGTGTGTTTGGGAGTTGTGTTTTGCAGGGAGGGAAAGGTTGATGGAGGTTTATAACCCTCCTTTTCATGTTTGGGAGTTTATAAAATTGGATGAGATGGTTTTGAAAGACTTTCATGACCCTTCAAAACCCTCTAAATGCTCAATTTTTGAGTTTTCCCAATTTGGAGGGTTTTGAAGGATAATTAATGAAATTGTAATTTAAGTTCAATTAAAAATAAATATCAGTTCAACTATTTAAATTCGTCATATCTCAAAGTGATTTTAATTATAATTCATGTAAAAACTCTCTTCTTCCAAATTTATTACTCCCAAATACAAAGAATGGTTTCATCACCCTCCTCTCCGATTCTCCTCCAAAAACATACCTCCAAAGTCTTCCTTCCCTTCCCTCCGAACTCCCAAACATACCGTTAACGTATGCATTTGTCCATTTGGGGGATGAGGGTTTGTGAAGAGAGAAATTTAAATTTAAGGGACGGGAGGTCAAAGAATTTGAGTATTTCTTCTATTTGGGACTCCAAAGAATTAGGAGGAAAATGCCAAACAGGGATGGGTCCCAGGGCAGTTCACTTTCTTCGGCATGTACGGTTGCGCAATGAACTTCAAGAAATAGTTATTTTTTTGTATTTCCATTTTGATCATTTTTAAAACCCATATGTTGTTGTGTTGCATACTTGAATTACCTATTTACTGGGGGGTAGGGGTCTCATATTTTCCAAGTTTTCTCTTATTTGGCGCGTACGTTTCTTCTTATGCACCTAACAATACATAAATGCAATGTTTCTTACCCCTAATTTCACTCAATAAAAGCTTTATGTAAGGTTAGGAGAATGTGAGTTTACTTATAATGTGAGGTTAGGGGCATATTTCACAGTATTGTAAGATTACCTTAAGTGATTTTATCTTTTTATTTAGTTTTTGTTTTCTAATAATGGTAAAAGTTGAAAGGGAATGCACTTTTCAAATAAGTGCAATTAGATTGATCAAGAATACTACGGAAATGGAGAAATGGAAGCGGAGTAATATTAATTTGGTTTTTTAGTTTTTCTCCTTTTCCCTGTTCGTGGTTTTTAACTGTGATAACATATGTTAAAAGTTGTTGTAATTAATGAAAAATTTGTATAAGGGCATCTCCGTCTATAGGATTATTTGAGGATTAATTGGGTGATGTGACGAATTATTTTTAAGATCATGATTGAGCGATGATGAAGATTATTTGGTGAGATTATTTGACAAAATATTTTTTGATTGAAATATGAATTCAGATCATCTCAAGATTATTGTGCAGCTAATATTAATCGGTGAGTAAACCCAAAAAAGATCTGATTACTTTGAGATGATGAACGATGTAATTTAGAAGATGTGATATTCCGTATTATTTTGAAAAACATACGTATCAATCTACGTATCTTTAAAAATTCGTGTATTTAAGTAGCATGAATGTGGATACTCTAAATACAAGTGGGTGATGCAGATAATACGCAGGGAAAATTGAAAATGTACTATGCATGCCAAATTGCCAATGCCAAGTAAACTCAGTTTGGTAACATTCGTTTTAGTCAAATAATAAGTAAAAAAATGGCTGTGTTGACTTGTTGACTTGTTGAGAAGAAATAACCTAGTTAAGATTACAATTTTTCTTCATCTTTAATTAATTAGCTAAAGTTAAAGTTAGGAGGGCAATTATGGCGATGCTCATTGTCGTAAACATAATTGAGCGCGTATATTAACATTATTATTTGGTCAATAATTGAAAAAAAAAACAAGAAAGGACAGATTCAGCTGCCCCGGCATCGCACGCGAGACGGAGGGTTGATTATGGCCTTTTTATTATGCCATTTTTGTCAAAGTATAGGTTTTATTATGTGTGTTTATGTAGGACCATAGCGGGGGGGTCATGTCTCTTTGGCACCACATTATTATTGTATCCATAAAGCCACAAACTCGACCATTTTTATCTTACAAGTATACAATTTAAGGGCGTGTTTGGTGGGACGAGAACAAACCGACGAAAAAGAGGTATATCTATCGTTGAAAAAGGCAAATGAGAGAAACATATGAGCAATAAATACAAATAAGACTGCGTGTTTCAAGTCTTCAAGAGAGAAAAGAGTGAAAATAGGAAGGTTGGGATTTATGTTAAAGTGGTTTGAAGCTCGAAAAAATTCAGACTTTCATAACTTTATTTTTTGATTTTTTTTTTACTTTTGTGGTCTTATAAAAAATGATGATGGAAAGGTAAGACTTCTCACCCTTTCTCTTATTTCTTGACATCTAATCTAACATTGTTTTCCTACAAAATTTAAACATATCCGGGCTATTTACAGTTTTCCACAAAACCAAACGAAGAGAATTAAGGATTATATTCTTGGGAAAAAAGGGGCAAATAAGCTCTCGAATTAACCGAAAAAGTGCAAATCACCCCTTTTACATGAGGCTCTGTCCGGCCGTCGCCATTTGAGGCGGTTTCCGGTGGATTTTTTTGATGTTTTTTTGAGCATTCTCTTTATTAAGTCTAGTTTACCCATACCAAATTTCAGCTAATAATTCAATCGTGAAGGCAGTCAAATAAATGTTTGAAGATAACTGTGCAGTTAAACAGCGCAGTATATTTCAGAAAATCATTTGACTGTCTTCTCGGTTGAATTTGTACCTAAATTTTGGCATGGGTAAACTAGACTTAATGAAGAAGATGCTCAAAAAAATTCATCAAAAAACTCCACCGGTAATTGCCCGAAATGGAGGGCCAGACAGAGCCTCCTATAAAAGGGGTGATTTGCACTTTTTCGCTTAGTTCGAGGTCTTATGAGACAATATTTATCTGAATGTTTATCGACATAGGTGGATCCAGAAATTAGAGTTAGATAGGGCTGAAGACTAATTATGCTAGACCTAAACATTAGAGGGGTATGCTAAATATGAAAAAAGAAAAACTTTAGCCTAATAAATTGAAAAGAAAATTAAGTTGCCGCGAGTTTCAGCCCACCATAGCCTATACGTAGATTCTCCCCTACTTGAGTTACTAAGGATAAACGGTATGATATACATTTAAATTAAGAGAAATTACTTAGAAGTCAAAGTCATTCAAAGTGCATATATAGGAGTTTTTAAC